CTGTTGAATACAGCCAATATTTCATACTCAATGTTTTAGCTTCAGATACCTTGGAGGCTAGTATTCCTGGACACATTCCATTATCTGCTACAAATGTCGTTCTCTAACTTAAATGGGCTAGTTGGTAAACAGTAGGTATAAAGTCCCAGAGCAGAAGATGTACCTGTATCCAGAGTGATGTATCATAACCTATTATTATAAAATGCAAGATATTTTCTCTTATTATGATAGTGAGAACTATAAAAGGTCAATCCCAGTAAAAATATTCATTAGTCTTCCAAAAAGGAGTTTGCTTGTTTATTTCATAAAAAAAAATTAGATAAGTTTTGTTCTTGTATCACCTGATCATGTTAGTATTTACATGCAGTAGTTACCATCAGATACATACGTATCTTTTCCATTAGTATAAATCATCTTGCATGGATGAATAACAGTATCAGAGTCTACCAAGTAGAGTGATTTTGCTGTCATGACAATTCCAGTTAATGTTGAAGTATAAGTTTGTGAGAATAATACAAATATTTGAATAGAATAGAATTATTTGGGTTGGAAAAGACCTTTAATATCATTGAGTCCAAGCTTAAACCTATCTCTAACTAGTTCACCACTAAACTATGCCCCCAAGCACCACAATTACAAGTCTTAAATACCTCCAGGGTTGATGACTAAACCACTTAATTAGACAGCCTGTTCCAATGCTTGATAAACTTTTTGGTGAAGAAATTTTTCCTAATTTCCTATCTAAACCTTTTCTTGCAAACCTTGATGCCATTTCACTTCATCACTTGGGAGAATAGAAAGACACCCACCTCACTGCAGCCTCCTTTCAGGTACTTCAGGAGTCTCTCTCCCTTGAGCCTCCTTTTCTGCAAGCTGAACAACCCCAGTTCCCTCAGCCACTCCTCATAAGAGATTCTCTAGACCCTTCACCGGTGTCCTTACTCTTCCTTGGACACTCTCTAGCTCCTCAATGTCTTTTTTGTAGTGAGAGGCTCCAAACTCAACATGATTTGAGGTGTGGCCTCACCAGTGCCAAGTGCAGAGGGACTATCACTTCCGTGGTCCTGCTGGCCACACTATTTCTGATACAAGCTAGGATGCTGTTAGCCCTCTTGGGCACAAGCCGGTTCATGTTCAGGCAGCTGCAGAAAAATACCCCCAGATCCTTTGCCACCAGGCAGCTTTTCAGTCACTCTTCCCCAGGCCTGTACCATTTCATGGGGGTACCCAGCACTTAGCCTTGTTGAAACTCATACCACTGGCCTCAGCCCATCGATCCAGCATGTCCAGATCTCTCTGTAGAGCCTTTCTGTCCTCAAGGAGATCAACATTCCACCCACTTTGTGTTTACTCAATGACCTTGTCCAGACTATTTAAAAAGATATTGAATAGAATGGGCCCCAGTACTGAGCCCTGGGGAACACTGCTTGTGACCAGCTGCCAACTGGATTTATCTCAGTTCACCACAAGCCTTTGGCCCTGGCCAACCAGAAAGCTTTTTACTCGGCAATGAGTATGCCTGTCCAAGACATGAGCAGCCATTTTCTCCAGAAGATTGCTGTAGGAAATGGTGTCAAAGGCTTTACCAAAGTCTAGGTAGACAACACTCACAGTTTTCCATCATCCACTAAGATGGTCAAAGAAATGTATTTGTCAGGCTGATCAGTTCCACAGCTTTATGTTAACACACCACTATTTTTTAGGCACAAACTTTTATTGGTGTGCTCCATACAGTCAATAAAATAGTTCCAATTTATGTTGTCCAAAAATCTGGTCTGCTATATGGCTGAAAAAGTGAGGTTAAGTTTGACACAGTTTTCATGTCTTTAGGTGAATAATTTTCCAATCTGAAAAAAACCTTGAAGATTGTTTTGGGCTTAAAGATTACTTTCTGGGAATGTATTTGATGGATAATTATTGTCAGAGTTAAATTTTAAACAAAGCTTATTTCATCAAGATACTTCTAATCCATATTCACTCTCATTGAACTCTCTTAATATAGTACTATTAAAAATGTTATATGCTGAAGTAGAGCTGTGTATGTAGAGCTCTGATGTAGCCCCATCAGAGATTTTGTTGTATTTTGAAGAATTGCCAGGAATGGCAGGGCCCAACAACTGACTGAGGTGGCCCTTTAAGATGTAGAACAAATCTTTCCATGATAAAGGGATCTTTTATATCAATGTAAGCTAGTTGTAAACCTTTTTCTTTTTTTTTTAGTTATCTTCTGCTTTTCAAATCCTCTAACGACCCTATGACAACTATGCTGAAGGAAATATGCTAGTTACATATAAACCCCCTGCAAATTAAATACATACTTTTTCAAGAACGCTCATCCCTGGCGGTGTTCAAGGCCAGGTTGGACAGAGCCTTGGGTGACAGGGTTTACTGGGAGGTGTCCCTGCCCATAGCAGGGGGGTTGGAACTTGATGATCTTAAGGTCCTTTCCAACCCTAACTATTCTATGATTCTATGATACTACAAAGAAGTATTTTAGTACCCTGTTTTACTTAGAAGCCATTCGTATTTGCACAAAACTATTTTCAGGCCTGATTCAAAAATAAAAGTTGTAAAAGGACCAAGGCAATATTAATTAGGAAACTAAAAACAAAGTATCCCTGGTGAATAAGATCACTATTTAAACAGATATTTCAAACACCAATAATAATTTCCCCTTTCAGTGTTTCAGATCAGTAGGGTTCATTGCATGCTGAGTTTGAAGCCTCTTAGTAAGTAAGTAGGAAGCATGAATTAGGACATTGTTATATCTGCTGTCAAAGTGTATAAGGGAGAAACTAATCAGATAAATTATTTTAAGCTACTTCCATGTCAACAGTTGAAACATTTTCTAAAAACTGTAAGAAATATCACTACATTAAAAAAAAAAAAAATCATCTTCTGGTTAAAAAGATTTAAAAAATAAAATCAACTTTCCTACAGGTGATTGATCCTGAAACTGCCTTTCCAGTCTCCATAGCCCTAATGGAGAGGACAATTGCAGCTGTTGCAGCTGGAGTGGATATTTCCTCATGTTTACCTCTCTTTTCTCCCTCAGTCACCTTCTTCCTCCCACTCCCTTTGGCAGGGGTGCATTATCAGTAACTCCCCTTCTTACTGTAACTAACCACAGTGTAACAGGGACTGATCTGCAGTGCTCCCTTGAAAACCCACAATGAATAGAAGCTGCCCATATGGTATGGGGCCCATATGGTATGGGCTGTTTGTAGAGAGTATGGCTAAAGTAGCCATTCTTCTCTTGCATGCTTCCTCTAGAGGAAGCGAATTTACTGTCAGCAAGAGGTAAGCTACTGCTCCTGGGAGAGAAGCAACAGTACAGAAAGAGTGTAATTCTTCCTTCCAGCATCAAATTAACCTTCAATAAAACTTCACAACACTTCTTCCTACTAATTCTGACCTACCAGCCCTCACCTTTGCTACTAGGAGTTATTTTTGCTTCTTTCCATGACTGTGTTGGAAGTCAGGCCAGGCAATGCTCACTCCAGTCTCATCTCTGGAGAAATAAAAAACATCATAATTCCTTTGGTTCCCTAGAAAAAATAAAGGGGTGGAGTTGCTCTCAGCTCCCTCTTCTTCAGCTTCCTCTTGATTAGTCACTGTTGCCTATTACAGCCTTGAGTCATAGAAAATAGGAGAGGATTTTTTGCCTATCCCACAGGTGTGGTCTTTTCCAGAAGTTTGATCATTGCACAGCTGACTGCTAGCCTGGTGAAATCTCGGCTGAAGCTGGAGGCAGTGGTATTATACCTCACACACAGTCCAAGATCTTCATTTTATTTGAAAGATTTGGTGCTACTTTTGCTAAATGAATACTAAACCAAGCAAATGCTGAAATTTCATGTAATATGAGACTTCCTGCACATGAAAACCTCAAGCCTATTATTGCAGTTCATGTATTTATTTTTTAAGTTAAACTTCAACATATTCTGCTTTTACAGCTCACTTCTTTATCTGATCAAGCAAAAATTATTAATTTACCAGCCAGTCAAGGTTTTAATCTACCTGCAGCTGATTAAGCACTTATCTAGTGTCCTTATTAGTACCAGAGCCTGTACTAAGCTGTATACTGGTAATTATTACATTTACTATCACCCTAAGATGTTAGAATATCTAATTCAAGATGTTTTATTGCTTAACTAGAGAGTGTATATTGCATTCTAAAAAACAAATTATACAGAAAGGCATCCAAAGACTTAAACAGCTGAACCATACTTGTGCCACTAATGATTTTGTATGTTCCCAACAATTTAGAACCCCCCAACAGCTGTGCCTCAATTACAGCTGCTTTATAGGCCGTAATAATGTATACATTCTGAGGTCAACAAGGAATCTCTCAACCTATAAAAGAACTTATGATAGCTTTTAGGAGCTTCCATCAAACTTTCGGTAAGGGGTGTTTCCTGTATTGTCTATTCTCCCCCCCCCCCCCCCCCCCAAAAAAAAAGGCATTTTCAGAATTCCTTTATAACAGTTCAATGAAGAAAAGGGAATCCAGATGTTACAGGCAGAGCATAGCTGCTGTCTTTCCAATTTTTTTTTTTTTTGAAACATTTTGGAGTACTCACCTATAAAATTTAAGCATTTTCAGTTACTGCAAATTTCACCCTCTCACAAGCAACAAAATAATCAATAGCTTGTGCTTTTTTTCTGATTTACCATCACGTGAAGATTTATTTGCACTGCCATTTAGACTCAGGGTTATTATAAAGCTACATTTTGCATGTGGTTGTTTAGATCTTTACTGAAAGGAATAATGAACTCTCAGTTTGCAATTTAAATTGGTCCCCACATTTAGTCACTATATGGTTCTTTGTTTCCAGTCCTTCAGTCAATTTTAAGTTCAATGAATCTGGATGGAAAGTAAAATTGATAAATATTCTACACCCACTTACCTGCTCTCTCCCTCCTCCACAGGACTTCTGAAGGGGAGAATAAGATGGAAGAAAACTTGTGGATTAAGAAAAGACAAGGACATCTCTCACCAATTACCATCACCAGCAAACCAGACTTGACCTGGGGAAAATTTAATTTCATGTTAATTAATGTAGCAGACCCTGCAGTGGGGCAGGGAAAAGGTACAAACACACACACACAAAAAAAAAGAAGTACAAGCCAAGGACAAATACAGGCTGGGTGGAGACTGTTTTCAGAGCAGCCCTGAGGAGGGTGTTGGTGGATGAGAAGCTCAACATGACCTGGCAGTGCACTTACAGCCCAGAAAGCCAGCTGTATGCCGGGCTGCTTCAAAAGAAGCATGACCAGCAGGCTGAAGTAGGTGATTCTGCCCCTGTACTCCACTCCCGTGAGACCGCACCTGCAGTACTGTATTCAGCTCTGGGGACTTCAATGTAAGAGGGACATGATCTTGCTGGAGCAAGTCCAGGAGGGCCACAAAGGCGATCAGAGAGTTGCAGCACCTCTTCTATCAAAACAGGCTGACTAAGCTGGGCTTGTTCAGCCTTGAGAAGAGAAGGCTCAGGGAAGACCTTATAGCAGCCTTCCAGTACCTAAATGGGGCCTACAAGAAATCTAGAGAGGAACTTTTTACAAGGGCACATAGGAACAGGACAAGAAGGAATGGCTTTAATCTGACAGAGAGTAGGTTTAGATTAGGCATTAAGGAAGAACTTCTTTACTATGAGAGTTGTGAGACACTGGAACAGGTTGCGTGGGGAAGTTATGGACGCCCCATCCTTGGCAGTGTTCAAGGCCAGGTTGGACAGGGCTTTGAACAATGTAGCCTAGGGGAAGGTGCTCAAAGATGGGAGGGTTGGAACTAGGTGGAATTAAGGACCCTTCCAACCCCAAACCACTCTATAATTCTACAGAAAAGACATCATGTCTCACAAAAGCAACAGAACAGTGTGCCTTATTTATAACCAATTCAAGGTTGCTTCATTTGTTAAGGTAGCTTGAACATCCATTTGTCATTTATTAGAAGTGCTTCATCTCAACATTTTTCCTTCATTACAGTTCTACCAACCAGCTCTCCTACTAATATGAAACCATAAATTTGGAATCAGTTTCACAGGACAGAGTCCATTTTTATATTAATACATGTTTAAGCCTATAACAGCACCAAAGAAATAAATTTGTACAAGAATTGAAGACCAGCTTGTTCCTGTAACAGGCCAGTATTTTAGTTAAACATAATCATTGCAAATGTCCAGTGAAAACAGGATTCTCGAAGTAGCAGGTAAAGGGCAAAAAAGGTCAGTTAATTATTCCCATTTCTGCTTTGACATAATGTTAACACAGCATCAGTAATAGAGCCTCCTGAGTCCTTATTAATGTAAGTTAGCTTAAGTCAAACACTCCACTTTTTCCTTCAACATTGGGAATTCCATTTGCATTTCCCATATTTTCACAGCTCTTACTAACTGATGAAGTTTAACCATGCCAAGTACAAGATCTTACACCTGGGTCGCAGCAATCCCAGGCACAGCTACAGGTTGGGCAAAGAAGATATTCAGAGCAGCCCTGCAGAGAAAGACTTGGGGGTGTTGGTTGATAAGAAAATGAACATGAGCAGGCAGTGTGCGCTTGCAGCCCAGAAAGCCAACCGTATCCTGGGCTGCATCAAAAGCAGTGTGACCAGCAGGTTGAAGGAGGTGATCCTGCCCCTCTACTCTGCTCTTGTGAGACCTCACCTGGAGTATTGTGTGCAGTTCTGGTGTCCTCAACATAAAAAGGGACATGGAACTGTTGGAACAAGTCCAGAGGAGGGTCACGAGGATGATCAGGGGACTGGAGCACCTCCCATATGAAGACAGGCTAAGAAAGTTGGGTCTGTTCAGCCTGGAGAAGAGAAGGCTGCGTGGAGACCTCCTAGCAGCCTTCCAGTATCTGAAGGGGCCCTATAGGGGTGCTCGGGATGGACTATTCATTAGGGACTGTAGTGACAGGACAAGGGGTAACAGATTCAAACTTAAACAGGGGAAGTTTAGATTGGATATAAGGAAGAAGGGGGGTGAGGCACTGGAATAGATTGCCCAGGGGTTGTGAATGCTCCATCCCTGGCAGTGTTCAAGGCCAGGTTGGACAAAGCCTTGGGTGATATGGTTTACTGGGAGGTGTCCCTGCCCATGGCAGGGGGGTTGGAACTTGATGATCTTAAGGTCCTTTCCAACCCTAACTATTCTATGATTCTATGATTCTATGTCTTTTCAGCTTCTCATAAAGCTCTGCCAGCAAGGAGCCTGGGAATACACAAGAAGCTGGGAGGGGACACAGCTGACCAAAGGAATATTCCACATCATGCTGAACAATAAATCTGGAGGGAGCTGGCAAAGGTAGACAGCCTGCTGCTCAGAGATTGGCTGGGCATCAGTCAGCAGATCATGAGTAATTGTGTTGTGCATCACTTGTTTTGTATATTCTTTTGTTATTATTTTCCCCGACTTTTCTGTATTGTTCTCAACTCATGAGTTGCCATTTTTCCTGTTCTCTTCCCCATCCTACTGGTGGGGGGAGGAGGACTGAACGAATAGCTGTGTGGTGTTCAGGTGCCTCTCAGTTTAAACCACAAACATTTTTCAGAAGGTATTTTCAAGTATCAAATTCTATTTAGAATAGCTGAAGATATTAAATATTTTGGTAGGATCTTTATGCTTCTGCTCTTGACTATGTTTAGTGTCAAAACACAGCATACTTTAATATACCCAAGTGTGTGCCTCACACAGCCTCCCCTGTCCTGTAGCTCACATATTCCTTTCTGTCAGTAATCTCTTTATAGAGATCATTCCCCATTACAATCCAGGCAATCTGTGTTATTTTTCTTGTTTCTGTTTCAAAGTGTTAACTTGGTAAACATACTATAGGATTAGCAGCATGAATGAAGGCTGTAAAAGTTACTGCAAAACATTTGGGAAGAAATCTAACTTGAGACTTCTAAGGCAAAGACACTTTTCTTCTTTTGTAAAGCTTTACATAACAAAAGCCAAGGATTATTTTACCCCAATATTACAGTCTTTACTTATAGAACCAATCTTCACCTCTGCAAGAAGTCTTGGTTTAGATTTACCAATTTATCACAAGATAAGGCTGTGCAACAATTGACATTATGTAACTCCGCTAAACCTTACAATGGAAGCTTAAACTGTACTTCAAGGAATTCTGTAATTCTGTTTTTATGCACTCTTTCAGCAGAATAGCAATTAACATAATTTCCAAAAATTCTTATTGAAGAGCACAGACCCAGGAAATGTCATTTCATACATGGTCACCCACACTTCAAGAAAACAAGATCTGAAGCTGCTCGTGCTGGTGCTGGAAAATTTTAAGTGCACTGACTATGTAACTTTAATATAATACTCCTTGTGTCCTGTAAAAATAATAAATAGAGGATGAAAGCAGTTTACTGAGATCATATATATAGTATAAGTCAATCTAATAAATTGTTCTTTATAAAAAATTCAGCCTTTTTTTTCACTTTAAAGACAATGGGGTGGTTTTGTTCCACTGTTCAGGTCTAGAAAATAATCAGCTGTGAATAGCATTTTCTTACAAGTCATGTAGTATTAAGACAGTTTGAGAAAAGGTAAATTTTATTATCCTAAAAATAACAATTTAGCTTAAATCAAGCTTCATTTTTCTGTAAGAAGAAGTACCAAACCAGATTCAGCCTTGATTATCACAGGTTCTAACAATCGTTCACATAACCTACCCAGATGACTGAACTTGTATGTAATAAAAAATGCAGTTTACATCTTAATCCTTGTATACCTGCCATGCTAACTCATTCCTCTCCTTCCACTCTGTTAAAGGATAGTGCAGCTGCTAAGGTGAGTGGCAAGTATTTGACATTAAGAACTTTCAGTAAATATCTGTAGCTACCTTTTGCCCACTGAGGACAACATGAACTGGAATATATTAAACCTATGCTGTAAATAGACACCCTTGACACAACAAAATTACTGACTGGTAACATTTGGGTTGGTGCTACAGGTACTGCCTGGTTTATTTTACCTCAGCTTGTATTGCATTCCTTTTACAATGAGAGATGAGTCCAATGGAGCCCTTGGGAAGAAGGGAGGACTGTTCTTGGGGGACTTATGAGTATCCACAGAGAGAGATATTTAGATGGCAGGGTATGTTACTTACAAGGAGCTAGCAAGATAGAAACACTTAGAAAATAAAACAGCTATATCTCAGAGGCAACTGATAATTTTCTAGGGACTAGAAAGGAAATTCTTCACTTAACTGCAGATCAAGAAGTTAATGCATAGCCTGAAACCAAGCCTGAAATTAGTGACTCACCTGTAAAGGCACAGTGAGTGGATGAAAAACATTATTTGACTTCTGAATATCTGTTCTCTCTGACCAAATAGCTGAGTTGCCCTCATTTACAAAGTATTATAGTACTTTTAAGCTGAATTTTATTAATCTTGAAAACCCTTCAGTCTCTTTTGGGGAGTTTATAATAGCGAGGTCTATACAGGTATTCTGTAAAGAACTGCTAAAAAAGTCAATGGAGAAAGAGACACTGAGAACTGTTAGGAAGTCCAGAGGCAATTTTGAAATTAGTCAAAGCATAAATTTTCACTTCAATAATCCTCGGCCCACAGCCCTCAAAGTTACAAAATATTTGCCAGAGCAATGCCCTAACAGCAGCCATTAGAAGGGTGGTAGGGTTCCTGACAATTTTGAATTTACCCAAGCATCAAATAGTTCCTTAATACAAATCTGAAGAATAAAAACAAATAAACAAAACACAAACGCAATTTCCCTACCAAAACTCTAAACTTAAGAATTGCATTTCTATCCCTTACCTCACAGAGGTAGCCTTCTGTTTTGGGTTCCAGGAAGGCAGTATCACCTCAGTAATTTCTGTAATGCTCTATTGACTGCCTTAGATAGGTTAAAAAAAAAAAAAAGAAAAAAAGAAATGTTCCTATAACTTCTATTGTTTAACTACTGCTCTGAACTTCAAAGGGGCTTTCACATTCAGTTGTATATTTACAACATTCCCACCCTCTGAAGGGAAGAGCCAGCAGATTGTCCATTGCTGCCAAGGCATCACAGAACCATGTGCTCAAGCCTAT